CCCACCAGGTATAATCTAACTAATTTACCCTTTCTCACCTCTCATCTCATAAGAACTTTCACATTATGCTGATGTGGTCAATGCAGAGGTCATTGCTTCAGCGATGTGATTATTGTCATTCTGATACTTCCATGGCTGCTTTGAATGATTTCCTTCACCTGAAAAATTTAAGTCTATTTTACTATTAGGATATATTTTGCTGAATTTCTATTTTTTTTAATGCCTCATTTACTGGGACAATTAAGTATTCTAGAGTCTAGGATCACATCCTATAAACCCTATTTTTTAAATCTAAGCTGCACCACACTTCTGATATTTCTTGAACTTTTGGACAGTTACTATGGACTTGTGGCTTTCAGTTTCTGTGATATAGTATGAATTCAGGGATGGGGAAAAAAAGATAAGAATGCAAATCCAACAATTATATTAAACATGTAGTAACCTAGTATAAAGATATAAAGTAACTAAACATGCTTCCTTGTGCATTGCACATAGTATGGGGAATGGCTGCGTTATTTGTGGCTCGGTGCAGTTTGCTAAAATTTTATTAAATATTTGTTATTAAATTTAGGCACAGCTCGTGTTTCAAGAATTTCTAAGGCTTAAGTGAGTGACTCTCCGTTAACAAATGGGGAATATTTAGAATCTGTTCAATTTGCATAACAGTGAAAAACTTCCATTTTCTTTTTAAAGAGACTTCTGGTGCCAAAATACATTATCGACTGATCAACATAAATCCTCCATTTTTGGTGTCCGTCTATTGAATCGGAAGGTATTCCCACGTGCACCATTTGGTTTGGGACAATAGCTTATTAAGAGATGTGATGTTAGTGTTGGGCTCAGAAGACAGTTTCAAGCACCAAGAAGATCTATTTGGCTTCATTTTTTGAATTTTAAAAAGAATTATATGAGTGGGACTGTGGGTTGATGCTTTGTTTATGAGTCCTTCATCTAGGAGCCTTACAAGTAAAATGAGGCTTATAACTTTAAAGATCTCTCCCGTCCAACATATTAGTGTTTTGGGATGGATTCTCTTTTGGACTTGTGCTCATAATATTAGTGTTGTCGTTGAAAAGCTGGTCTCACGAAGAGGGCATCCTATAAAGGGTTATGATCGGCAGGAGGCCGAGTGAAGTGGAGTGGAGCTGTTGAGAACGTCAGCTCTCAAATGGGGTGGATCTTATCCATTTATATACTCCTTCATTCTAATTCCACTGAATGCAGGGTTTTTCACCACTCAATTTGAAGGCTGACTTTGGTAGAGTTGCTTAATTTATACTTGAAATGTCCCATGCCATATAAGAATCACGGAAACTTCTACTTTCTGTTTAATCTTGTTGCACGCTTACACTTGGTCCTATCATATATTACTCTTACATGCTAATTTGGTCCTTCACGGCAAGCAGGCATAAAGTTGATCTGGTTTGATGTTTTGCAGGCTTGCATACTCAGAGGAGGCAGGGGACGACTTCGACGAAGAGGCCATAGCAGTGAAGGTGTCAGGGGAAAGAAAGGAGAGGAAAGCAGCGGTCGTGGTGGATCATCACGTGTTCGGGCTCGGCGAGGACCGAGAGGAGGACAAAAGGGCGTAACGGCGCCTGCGTCAGCGTTGTGTTTGAGGTTAAGGTTGTGTGTGAGGATTCTTACAGGGAATTTCGCCTTCCATTCTTTGCCGTGCCTCGTCAAGTACAGTCACAGAGGAGGGCTTTGAACAGGGAAAAACAAGTGTCTCCATGAGGAAGGAAAGGAGGAGGGAATTCTTCATATGGCAGAGAAATTTTTAGGCAAATTTGATCTATTGAAGATAAACGTACATGGGACCAAAAAAATTAATAGGTGAACATAAAAACCATCAAATATGTGGTTAGTTTTGAATGAAAGTTACCTTTTAGTATGTCCATAGGTCTATCTATAATCCATAATTAATTTAATTTATCCATCTTTAATAGATCTGTGTCTGCTCTAAATACACGTGTTCATGCTAATGGTATATCCACTTGCGGGACACGTGGAAGCCATTCATGCATGCACAGGTGAGAGCCACTGGGATTTTTGTATTTTGAGCCATTAGCAAATGAGGAGATAATAAACAGAGACATTGGAGAGAAATCTGGGATGGATTCGTAGCCGAGTCTTACGCTTGAACCATGGTATAATCCACATGTCTATATATTTCTTTTTCTTTGGGTCTGTTTGGCTTTGGTTATAAATAAGGCCCCTGGAGGTGATGTGTGGCAAGGCAACTTGAAGAGCACTACCAGGCTCGTTTGCAATGACAGATCTAGAATTTGATTACTCGGAGCCTAAATTAAAAACAAAATATGGAATGAGGGGCTAAAATCTATTTACAACTTCTTAAGATTTTTTTAAAATATTCTTTTAAATAGAGTTAAATTTGGTAAGTTATTTCATTGTTCCATTTTAACAATTTAAACATCTTTTCTTGATTTTGATGAATGAGTTTGAAGGATCCTATATTCCAGACAAAAAGAAGTATTGTAGAATAAAAAGTAATTTTTTTAATAGTAAAACGTCATAAATTATTCTTAATGATAATTGATAATGAAAAATAATTATGATCAAGTAATAATTATAAGAATATAATATTAATATATATTGGCATCTTGACTGTCATGTGCTGTAAGTTGGTAACTAAGGGGGACCAAGTTTAATAGCACCGCTGATTATGGCTTTTACCTCCTTCCGACCGCAACAATCTCTGTTTTTGTGTAGCATTTGATTTTTATATCACTATCATATTTTTAACCCATGAAATTAACTTCACGTAAAGTGTCATTTGGAATAATTAATTTGAAAGTCGTGTTAATTCAATTGAATTCTTTTTTTTCCCCCTCAAATTCCAACTTTTCTAATCTTGTAGAATATGTTTGGTATTGCCTTATTTGGTTTAGAAAGGAAGGGGATGGGAGGAAACGAGAGGAAAAATAATTATATATAAATAATTTTATTTTTATTTTACTTGTGTTGAAATATTAAAAAAGTATATCTGTATTTTTTAAAGATATTTTGATCAGGGTATGAAAAACTTTACTCTTCTTGTCCCACTCCCCCTAATTTGGAGGGGAGAGTTTGGAGGGGAGATGTTAAAAAAATTTTCCTTCCCTCCTCTCCAATTTTTTAAACCAAACAAAAGATAGAAGGCAAAATCTTTTCCCCTCCAACTAAACACTCCCTAATCTTTTACTAAGTTTTCAATTTAATTTAAATATTGTCATGAATTGCAATTACCTGTCCACTCTTTAAAGATACATGACGGGCCAAATTGTTCTTTGCACAATTTGAAATACATGTGACATCCACGCCCACACAATTTGAATTTGACTATATATTCAATGGTATAAAAAAGACTCTCAGTTTTTTTTAAATTAATTTTTAAAAATTTATCCAAACACAATCATGTTCTTATGGTCAATTTTTTCATAATTAATTATAAAAAAATTAATTAACTTTACAATTTTTAAGAAATGATAATTAATATCTTTAAATTTTTAAAAAAAATTAGGATTTTTTAATCTTGCTCTTCACTAAAATTAATGTCCACACTAAAATGTGTCTATAAATTATAACTTGGTACATTTAAAGAGGGGCAATGTTGAAAAAAAAAAAAACCACAGCATCTTTATTATATATTTAAGATCAAATAGAAGTTTTAAAGAACGTATTAAAAATTGGATTAGCTATTGAATTAGTCAAAACATTAATTCAAAGATTAATGGTCAAAACAACAATCAAACTATAATCAAATTAATAATAAACAAATTATTTTATTAAATTTGTCAAGACACTTATTGATTTAATGATTTATCAATTCAATCAAAAAAGTTGATTTGGATTTTCATTCTATGGTCTTAAAACTTTGCATTATAATTAAAATTGGAGAATATTAAATATATGGAATTTCGTGATAAACAATTCTTGGACGAAATTAATTTAAGAGTACGTGATAAAATACAATAAAGACAAATAAAAACTCCTCTTTTATTGGGCTACGTGTAACCTGATTGGGGTGTTCCACATAATTTTCCGTTTGCCTAATTGAATCCAAGGCTTAATTGGAGGCAGCCACGAGCTAACCATCCCCCACATAAAACACTGATGAGATTTTCTCTTTTAAAAAGGAAAATGAGGGAAATCAGAGAAACAGAGAGAAAACAAAATAACAAAATGGGACACAGTGGACGACTTGATTGTGTTTGGCCATTGGCAGAGCCAAGCAAGCAAGGCCGAAGAAAAAGACAATGATAGTGGCGTCGAAGACCAAACGCGGCGTAAAAGCGTCCAAAATAGCAGCAACTAAACCACAACCAGGTACAACTAGACCTCACACAAAACTTGACATCAACTTTGCTTCCTCCCTTAGAAGAAGCCTTTAAAATCGAATATTCTCCATTAAATATATTTTCCTTCCAGAATCAATCTTTTCCCCCACCGTATTACCTTTCTTGTATTCATTCATTCATTCTCTACCACCAACTGCTTCAGCTGCTGCTGCAATTTCAAGCTCTTGAAGGTAGAGATCCGATTCAAAGCTGCTATCTTTGGCTATAACAGAGAAATCCCATTTCTGGGTATCTGCTAATTTTTCAGGATGGATCGCCGTGAAGGCAGTGGCAAAGGAAGGAAGAGCAGGCGCAAGAGATTGAAGGCATATTGTGGGTGTCCCCGTCATGCTGTATCCACTGTGTTCCGAGGAATCGGAAGGTGCATGTTTGTGTGTTGTTACCCTGTTGTACAGTGTACTGGTTTGGATGAACATAGACATCGCCGCCACCATCCCAGACGCTTCAATTGGTGATTATGGAGTATGAATCCTAATTCATTTTAGTGTCCAGGCTCCACCCCATTACCCAGATTGCTTGATTGCTCCATTGTTTTGAATAACAGCATCACTGGTTTCTTTTAGCTTCCCTTCTTGTTTTTGGCACCTTGGGGTGGGAGGCGGGGGGAAGAAGGAAAAATGGCACTTCCATATATGGTTCTGAGCTTGTTTTGAATAATTGTATTTGCAATTGTCAATATCTATATATATATATATATATATATATAAGAGTTTCGTTTATACTTGATGGCTTCTTTTTAATGTGCAATTTGGAACTTCTACGAACAACATACACATATATTTCTGGTTCCAGTAATTCTGCCATATCCTTTGGTTTTTGCCTACCTTTCAGTTTCATCAAGTGGAAACGTCTGTCATAACGCCCATTTTTCCTCCAGCAAGAAGAGTTTTGTGTGATCTAATTCTGTTTTTCAATGATAATTCTAACTTCCTGAAAAATCGCCAAACAGTTCATGAACTGAAAAATGGCGAAATATGTGCCAGGAAAAATTAGCTGGTATGTACCAAATGAAACGAAGAAGACAAGACAACATCCTCAAAACAATGATCTTCGTTCTCCTACCTAAACCAGCTAAGCCACAAGATTGAACCCTGATGTGAAGGTAAATGGCCCCTTTTCAAAATTTACACAAACACACACACAAAAAAAAAAAAGAACAAAACAAAAAGGAAGTCCTCTAGCCTCTGCAATTCGTTAGTTGACATGTCAGCTTCTTTACATCAGATTGCTTGAGGGGCTTTTGGATGAACATCTGAGCACCTTCCTCCAAGCACCTTTTCACAAACAACATAGAACAGTCAGAGCACCAATAACATACACAGGCACTAACATCATCTGTAGAATGTAGTTAGAGGCAGACTGACTTGTTCACCCTTGTTGGGATGTTCTCAGATGACATGATCACCACTGGAACCTCCTTCATGATTGATGATTTCTGTTTTCAAAAGTAAAACAGATTGTGGCTGTTAATGTTAAAAAACTGTCACTGACAAAATATCTCATTTTCTGTCATAGTCATACCCTCTTAGATACCTTTATTTTCTTAAGCAGCTCATATCCTGTCATCCCAGGCATACAGTAGTCTGTGATAATCATATTCACTTTGGATCCCTACAAGAAGCATTTCATTATCAGTATGGTGAAATGGATAATAGTATGGCTACGATGAAAATAGAACATGAGTCACTTACAGTGCCCTTCAAGGTGTCTTCTTCATCACTTGCCAGTCCCAGAAACTCCAATGCCCTCGGTCCATTTTCGGCAGTTGTCACTGCAGGCAAATAGCCATTATAGTTGCAAATGGCTGAAAAACTAAACACCAAGAGTGTTTCTGGGAGAGTTTAGAACTTACAGTGCTTTTGTGTGTGTGTGTGTGTGTGTGTGTGTGTGTACCTTTGCAAGAAGAATTCTTGAGGAGCTTCTCAACAAGTTTGCGGTCAATGAGGTTGTCATCAACAGCTAAAACGTGGGGCATAACACCATTTTCCATGACCCAATTTGGTGAGGAGGAAGAAGAAGCCATATATTTTTTTTTTAATCTTACTAACACAGATAACAAAGGAGGAGGAGGAGGAGGAAGGTCTGCTTCTGGAGGTAATAAACGCAGTTAAAATGAAGGAGGGGACTGCAAGTGTATTAATTGCAGGAGGACCAAGATAAAAACAAGACGCTTATTTCTTCTCTGACAGGCCTATAATAAAGAGAGAAAGGAACATGACAGCAAACAAACTTGAAAGTCACAAGAGATGTATGAAGGGAACGAGGTGGTGGTATATATACAGAGTAAATGCCTATGAAATCCAAAATGGTTGGTAGCAGAGGAATTTGAGAAAACCAGAGGGGGAGAGAGAAAGTAGACGAGAGAGACAGAGATACATAATATCAAGTCACAGATATTTCGTGATCCTTTTGGGGTGTCTATGAGATTTGATTCAGTCCTAACCCACTCTTTCTCTCTCCCCCATTTATAGTTTCTTTCATTTCTGTCTTGACGAGATATCCGAATCGGTATCTGCAGTCTTTGCATTCATTTTTGAGAATCCTCACCCCTAGGCACTTCTTTTAAGCCAAGCACTATTATTATTTCTGAATCATCAAAAAACACACACACACACACACATGAATTTGCCCATATCCAGGTATTGATAAAAGATCGTCTTTGTAAGCAAATAAGTTTAATGATATGAGTATCTCGCCAAGAATGCAACTTCATTTGCAATCAAGTAATTGATTTCATTTTTAAGACTCAAAAGTTCAGGAAAGCCTTTATTCTTAGAGGTTCTTTGCTTAGTCACCTTTGATACGAGAGGTTTGGAATAAATCAAAGCTTTTGGGACAAAATACTGCGAATAGATTCTAACCCAAATGAAAATCAGATTGTAAATTGCTGACCTTCCTTGCTGGACAGAATCTGCAGAAACGAAAGAGTTTGATTTCAAGACGGAAATTGCATCTGATAAGATATGGGTGCAAACAGAAAATGAAAAGGGGGAAAAAAAATCCACGCGTTTGGAAATCAAGAAATTCTGGACTCTATTTTCCTTTCCTTTCCTGACTCACCTTATGCCATTGAGAGTACATAAATTGCAGGGACAGCGTCATGAGCTGGAGAATAAAATCCAAGTGCAGCATCCTGTGATTGTGTCATCAATGTACAATGAAAAAGATAGAAACACTCACACATTTGTGTCATGAAGTTCACTTTACAACCCCAAAACGTGAAGAGAATCAAACCCTTGTTCGAGTGCTCTTTCTGAACGTGTCAGCGCTTATGTCAAACACAGTCATAATCAAAATATTAGGTTGACCAGCAAATCAACAAATTTCTCGTCACAACTTGTATCTCACCAGCATACACACTCATCATCATCATTGACATTCAGCATGTCCCTCACATCACATTATTTACTACATATAAATTAAAAACTTGATGAATGAGCTTGAAAAGTGTATAATAATGAAGGTTCTGTGCTTGACTTGGAGTTGAAGTGACGGTTAGATTCGTTCCTGGGGTTGGATTCTGCACGGTAGAGAGGCGATGTCGATGACATTAGTAGGTCAAATAAGTACGTGACGAATGGTTGTGCATGTTTCTATACGAGGAAAGATAAAAGCCAGAGAGAGTTGAAGAGACGAAAGAAATGACATTGTGACATAGGGAAGGAAAGTCAAGCTGTAATGTGACTGGGAACTCTCTACTGTTTGCACAGTTTGACGTGACTTGAGATTCTAATATTATACTTTCATAGTGTTCAAAGAATGGGATTGAGACACTTATCCCATTTTAAAAAAAATTAAAATTAAATTTTATTTTTGTATCCTATTTTATTAAAAATTAAAATAAAATTAGGATAAAATCAAGATGTTTTATCGTCCTGATAAATTGAATAATATTAAAAAAATTTAAGTAATAACGTTCATTAAAATTTTAAATTATATAATTTATTAATTTTAAAATCAAAACAACAAAAGTACATAAATTACAACAATTTAAAGTTAATTATTGAATTACATTAATAACAACTACACACTATAATAGCAAATACAAGTGATTTTTAGGCTATAAGAGTAGCAATAACAGACAAGTCAAACACAATATCAAATCATTGTTATTCTACTTTAGTGAATATGTACTAAGCTAATTATTCTTTTAAAAATAAAGCAAGAAATAAGATATAAATAAAATTTATTAAATAGATAAATATAAAAATAAATTATATTAATATAATTAATATATTATGAAGAAATATATCAGCATGTTTACTCCATGTCATTAAAATTATCAATATAAAAAAATTTTAATTTTAAATAAGAATTGCAAGTATTGAAATTATAATTGATATAACTAATAGAAATATAAATTATATTAATATAATTAATATATTTAAAATAAAAAATAATATATATAATATTCGGGACGAGATAAGACGTCCTGATGGTAATCCCGTATCCTGTCTCGTCCCGATCCCTTTCCTATCCCATCTCATAAAATCCTATCCTTATTATTTTCGAACTGGGACAATACCTATCCTAATATGATCGGAATGATATTGGACCAATCAAGACAAGTCCAAATTGAACATTTCTAATACTCCCTCCGTTTAAAAATATAAAATATTTTTAATAAAATTTTACCTCTCAATAAAATACTTACTTACTTTTAAATTAATCATATCTTTTTATATTTATCTCTATTAAATATTCTATAATAAATATAAAGTTATTCATCAATAAAGATATTTTTTAAAAAAATAATAATTACATTTTAAAAATTAAAAATATATTTTTTAATATTTAATTTTTTAAAAAATATTTTATATTCTTAAACAGAATATAAAATAGTACTATGGAATGAACACTTAAGCGAGTGAGTTTTGATTTTGAGAAAGTACTATGGAATGAACCAAGTTTGCAAAATTAGTTGTTGAATATCTTAAAAGTTAAGATCTCTTTCATATTATTATTGATATTTTTAAAATTTTTATTCATATTTTCCAAAATTATAATCTTTTTTTATTGGTTTAGGGGCTCATGTTTTTTCTTTTTTTAACTTCCATTATAGATTTCTTGATACAAAGAAGGGAAAACGAAGTAATTTGATACTTTTGAGATCACAAGAGTTTTTGAAATAAAAAAACTGTTTTACATTGCTCGCTGGAAAATAATACTCCCTTGGCCAGCTTATGATGTAATTTTTGGAATTGATTTGATGTCCTGAAATATAAAACAATTTATTCAAAATAAAGTTTCATTAAATATATATTTTTAATATTAGCATGCCCTCCTTATTATATTCTATTTCTTTAAGGTTATTAAAGAAAAAATATTTTGAAAATTTTTATTTTTATTTTTAAAAAATAAAATTATAAAATATATTTAATAATCTTTATTAATATATAATATTTTATCTAAAATTCTCTTATAAACTAGGCTAGTGGGAATACAAAATAGCAATTGTTGAATAAAGTATCTATCAAATGCTGAAATATTTATACAAGAAAAAAATATCGCTTTATAAATACCAAACGACTTCTTGAATATAAATATTATTATATGAGGAAAAATTTATAATTTTAAATCTTGTAATGTTAATTGCTAATTTTCTAAAAAAATTACTGTAAATTATTTTTATAGGTTGTATTTTTTGGGTGAATTTTATAGTTTCGATTTTAATTATTAGTTTTTTAACTATGAATTTTGTAATATTCAAATCCTTAAATGTTAATTACTGCTTTAATTCTTTAATTTATTGCGCAACCCAGAGAATTCAATGGTTATACTTCCACTTTACCTAACGCATGTTGCATATTTGCAACCAACAAATGCAAAGAAAATTCCGTTTTCGTTTGATCCCGGCAAAAATTACTTGTATCACATCTTCTAAATTTCAAACAACACATGCAATATTTTTTTTTCTCTAGTAATATGTACAAATTAGAAAAACTAGAAGAAGAAGAAGCATGAATGATATCAAATTAGTTTATACTATTTTAATTTTTTTTATAAATCATTTATACTAATCTCGTTAATACTAATGTAAAGAAAATAAAAAAATATAAAAATATAAATTTTTAAATATATTTGTATATAATTAATTTAAAAAATAATGTCATATTTTTTATAAAAAATAATTTTAAAAATATTATTTAAAAAATTATATCATGATTTATGAATGAGGCAAAAAAATTTTTTTAAAATCTGCATTATAAATGGAAGTGAGAAGATGGATAGCATTGTAGCATGTACCTCAGAAAGTAGCGCTGCAAAATGACAGAGAGAGATTCCCCAAAGATTCATTGGAAGATGCATCAACTCAATTGTCTTTCACACATTTCCTGTTTGGCTGTCTACTTTATTCTTTCCAACCGCATCAGATTCGACCCAATGGCTCCTCTCTGGTCATGTGATGGACCTATTTTGGATTAGTATTGCTTTCAAGTCAATGATCCTGTCTTCTTTAGGTTGGAATCAATACAGGATTGGGATTTTCTTCAAATCAAAAGGTCCTGACCACACAATCATGTCTCCTCCATATGCACATAAAATGTGTTACTTTGTGTGCATTTGAGAACATAACCAAAACTCAAGACAACTAAAAAAAATTCAAGAAAGAAGCCTCAGTTTCAATACTATACTACCTTTTGTCTTATTATGATCAGTGTTTTTAAAATCGACTCGGACGTTCGAAGCGTCGATCGGTCTGGATTTCAATTTGGTTCATATAAAAAAATCATTTTAGGGTTGAGTCGGGTTGGGCCATTTCGAATCGACAATCAACCCAGGAACCAGATCCGATTTTTAAAAACCGGATTGTTCAAATTTTTTTTATTTTTCATCAAAATTTTTTAAAAAATGATTAATTTTTTTAATCATTTGATATAATGTTATATCATGTGACTTATTAAGTCATGATATACTTAAAATATTTAATTTTTTAAGTTAAGTAGTAATTTCATATGTATTTCTTATATTTAGATTATTATTATTATTATATATATATAATTTTTTAATTTAATTATTATGTTATCGATTTGATCATTGGTTCAACCCGATTGAACCATATGAACCATGAACTGCTGACTTTTCAATTCAATATCCAGTCTGATTTTAAAAACATTGATTATGATACCATTTTCTGTGATTCTTAATATAAGACTCCTATCTCTGGTGTTAATTTTTTAAAAAAATTACTCTAAGGTTCCACATATCACATTTAAATACTATGAAGTCTATTGATAACTTAATAATAAAAATGATAAGACATTGTGATATTTAACTGTGTTGTATTGATACTTATTTGCAATTCTATCATTTTTTTTTAAAATATCATTTGCGTTGGTATTTCTTAGTTAATTAAACAAACTCTTTGCTAACTAAACAATCTATTATAATTAATGAGTTTCATTCAAGGTAATTTTGAAATTTTAAAGGCTTCAATTAATTTTAACTAAATTTTTAATCTACATAAATAAGTAATTAACAAGTCAATGTAGAAAGGACAGAAGGAAGTACTAATTTAAATCCTTTTTTAATTTCATAGGTGTATTTTTTGGGTGGCGGATAACTCCTATAATCATCTAAATTTCAAACATCATACACAAATAATTCTCATTTTTCTAATTTGATAACAAACTCTTTTTGAACTAATAGGTGTGTTAACACCTGTCCTTAATCAATTGGCAATTTAACAAACAAAAAATATTCCAAGCAAAAAGACAGTCTTTAAAAATTCTGCCACAAAATAAACCTTATATTTTGAAAGTTTTAAATCCCAATTGCATGATCCCATCGTTATGTGACACAGGTTTTAGTTAGCAAGATAATAAGCAGTAGAGTTATTTACATTAAAAAAATTTTGAAACATTCATTTAAGTCCTAAAATTAAAAGTAAACGTGATCAGTAGATTGATTCTCAATTATATAACAACCTGGAAAAAGAACAGACACAACCTCATAAAACAAAAATATCCACAATCAAATAAAAATCAGAAACATGATCCAAATATTAATTAATATTGTTAAAAAAATATTTCTTTTGGTACTGGTTTCACTCTAAAACAAGATGGTACAGAAGGGCCAGAGTGAAAGACATCAGCCTTAGAGAAGATGCATGTCGTACAAACTGGAACTGAGATGAACATGTTACCCACTTGGACTTCTTGGTTTCGCTTTGCTCAAAATTTGAAACACTTTGTGATAAATGATAGGTACAGCCTCTGGATGGTCACCAAGGCTAAATAAATAAACAAGTGCCTTCATCATCATCATCTTATCCTCATCTTCAATATTATTTTATAGAAGCTCTGGGAATGGAAGAAGTACATGGTCCACCTGACGTCATGAAAGGTATTCCCTTGAACGTGGCCACTCCCTTTTCGTCAGTGAAAAGATTCTGCATCACAAAACACCCACACCGCCTCTTCTCAACATCCTAAGCATGTTATAACAGCAAAAATCCTCTAGTTTGTGTTTTTAGACTCTTAGTTCTTTCAATTAAATTTTGTAGTGCTTTTACCCAATACACCCTACATGGTTGATTGCTTTAGAAAAGATTCTCAGTGTGCCATCATTTTAATTGAAGAACCTCATGACAGACACTTGAATATAGATCCAACAAATTTTCCAGAGTTAGAAGGCTTGAGAGAATACCGGTGTGACCTTCTCCAGCTGTTTCTTCTTTGGGTTAAGTACATCTTCTGGCTTCCCATCAATCCTGAATTACAGAAATGAACAAATCAGTGTACAGTAAATAATCTCAGAATTAAACCTCGTCCAGAGCACTATAATCAACCCAACCCAACTTTTTGAATATGACGAAATAGTTTGTCAACCTTGGTTATGCTACAAAGGCGAAACTTTTTCAGCAGCTGCGAACATTTTAAGAATACTTCACAAAAGATCAAATGTGATCATTACTACAACATGAATATGGCCATCCACAAATGTGTTCCAGTTATAGCCAGTCATTATTCAAAAAGAAAAAATAGAAATGTTAAAAGAATTTGCAAGTAGCCAAGCCCAGAAGCTCCTAATGACTACCGGCAACTGGCAAACTTTGAACTACCTAGCTCACATCCATGGCATGTTCCAGACACATTGACTTACAATACTATATCCACAGAATAAAATATGCTACTCAAGTAGGAAATGAGTGCCTGCATGTTCAAGAATTCTAAGCAAGCTTACCCAGAAAACAAAACACGTTCTCCAATTTTAGCGCCTTCTGGAGGGAGCAATGGCTCCACAACAGTGTGATCTTCGTTAGAAGCACATAGGACCTGAGAAATGGGAATACAATGCAGGCACCGCCATTCAAACATCACAAGAAACACAAGGCAACGTAATTTAATTAATGTAGCAAAAGATAAGCATAATTTATTAGGACAAATACCAGTCCCTCTGACATAACATCGCGTAGTTTTCCAGGTTTGACATTTGTAACAAGTACAACACGACGGTTCTGTGGAGCACAAAGAAATCAGGACCATAAGATTAGGACTTGATCAACAAATCCAAAAGGTACATAGTCGCAACTCAAACTAATTAGATCTGATGGTGTAACACTAGGTCAGGAAACCATATTACCGTCAACTCATCAGGACTGCAATACTTTGCCAATCCACTGACAACCTGCCGCAATTTGGCTTCCCCAACGTCTATCTCCTCAACTAACAAACTGCATCAAGTTCGTTAATTTAATTTAAATATATAAGTTGTAAATAGGACCCAAACATATTAAACATTAACAGAGTGAATAAATTTATCATGAGATTTTTTTTTTTTTTTACAAGATAATTTTGCAAGAGTACCTGTCAGCTGATGGATGCTTCCATGCTTTAAGAATTAGTCCGACCTGAATATTTAGCAAGCTGACACTAAGTTCTTTATCTTTCTCTAATGCCTCTGTTTGAGCAGGTTTTGTATTCCCTTTAGCAGCATCCTTGTCTCCTGTTGCCTTTTTCTTAGTCACATCCTTGTCTCCTGTTACCTTTTCCTTCAAGTTCAAAATAGAAAGGAAATGAGTTCAAAAGTCAGTGCAATAACTCAATCAGGAATCAGGATACAACTCCAACGGCACAAGGAATTTATAGCAGGAATTGCAATTATAGACAGAAAACCTTGACCAAGAATCATCAATGAAAAGGTTTCCATTGTTCTTGATCATGCACATTGATTAATCCTTCGTATTGTGTTGAATTTTAACAAAATGCTCAATTTTATAATGCAATTTTTTCATATACATAAAGTACAGATTCCAATTTCCATCAAAGCAGCATTCACAAATTCAACTAGCCTATAATTTTTTGTACATTAATGTGGCTTTTTTTATCACTATTATGATTAATACTTTATGCTGTAAGGTCTCCTCAACTAGGCTATCTAGTAGCGGAAAAAATAAAATAAAACAAAATATGTTGTCACATAAAAGAAGTCCAATCTGGGAATATTAAAAATAATAATAACTTGCCTCAACTTTGCTGCTCTTATCTGTGCTTACTTCTATTCCTGGTTTGTTTACATTCTTAGTGCTTTCCTCGGTCTTTTTTGCTTTTGATTCTTTTGAATCAGTTTCAGCAGCTGATACAGGTTTTGCTATCTGCAAAATAAAATCATATAAGGAAAATTGGAAAGGTCAGCCCCCGTAAGATTTTACATGTAATCAAATACATGTCTTATTATGCATAACAGAGCATTTAAAACAAACTAGCAGATGCCATTGTCATCAGTCAGAATATTTAGAACTGCTGTCCTAGATTATATGCCATTAAGTTGAAGTGAAAAATTACAGATTCTCTGCTTACAACTATGCAGTTTTAAAATTTAAAGCAGTAGAATTTGCCAATACGAAGTACAGAGGTTGTACTTCAGGAATTTATACACCTGAACAAATTGAGGATCAAGCTTTGTTGAGCCTATGGAAAAATGACTAACAAACAAATAAGAGAATGATGGCTGACCAGAGGCTCAAATTCAGCTACCCGCAGCAATATTTTCTCAAATAAATCTGCAAAATCCTCTTTGTGCTGAAAAGTGAATAACATTCAATCAAGAACATACAGCTATGGTTAAGATCACGACAGAAGAAATATGAAGATGCAAAAGCTTTAATTTATGCAGTACAAAAGACATCCTTAGAGCTAATACGGAATGCATACCAAATCATCCTATGACATGCTAACCAGCATAAATCATAGTCTCAAATTATGAACTTCTAAATGTACAAAGTTAACATACACTGATACACAAGATGCTACTATGGAGTCAAATAACTCGGAACTAAGTCTATTTCCAAACAATATACCTCCTCCTTGTGCTATCATATCCCAATCAAGCTTCATTACAACTTCCCAATTCCTTGTATTTAGGTCTTTCAATAATTTTCTATCCAATACTTTTCTTTTGCAACGGAAATACGTAAAGGAAAATAAATATCATGCAGGGTGCAGAGAGAGTTTAGCTATTGCCGCATATTTTATTTAATATTATGAATTATCAAGACATCAAATTACACAGAAGAAAGTAATACCAATCACCAGGAAATATTGTGTATGATTTAATTGCAAAATGGTCCAGTTCCTGAAACATGCAAGTAGCAATTTGGACACAGCCAAACTTAACCTGTAGAATATACCTGAATGTAATCCACCCATCTCAACACATGTGGAAGTTTTTCTCTGTTTGTCTCCGAAAGGGTGGTCTGGCAATAAGCATCCACTAAAACTTCATTAGATATTAACTTCAATACTCAGAATATAAGCATTTTTTCCATGCTGAATTTCTCCCTTATTGTGCCAGTAAATCATGAGTTCCTTTTTTTTTTTTATGAGGGCTAGAAAGAGAAAAAAAAGGTCCAACCAACCAATTTTAGGGTATGGGGGAGTCATCTTAAGGGGGGGGGGAACAGCATGATGCATACCAAGGAAGAATGAACAGCAGAAAAAACTATAACATCAGCTTCAGATGGTTTCAAACCATTGCCTAAAAGCACAGACTTTCCAGACAGTTCGTCATTTAAACCCTTGAGAACCTCAAAAGAGGGTTCAGGGGTTTCAGGAAAAGCTTCTGCAAATGCTATCCATTTCATCACCTACAAGTCAAAAATGTATTAACGGTAAGAAATCAAATTAAACAAGTTGCCAAGATTAACCTTCTGTGAAGTATATTATAATTTAGATTCCAATCCAATACTGGATATCATTACTCAAAAACCATGCATGATTTCTGATGAATAAGGTGCTTCACTGTAGCCAAGCGATGGCAAGATGGAAAGAGGGAAGAGAAAGGTAAGCAATTTAAACTGCTAATGACATTAATGGCCTATTAACTTGCATACGCAGCTATAGATATACCCCAAACTTCAAAGACCAGTGCAAAATTTATCATTGGCTGGCATTAGAGAATTCACATAGAAATTGAATGTGTTAATAGTTTAATTATTAGTAAATGCAGGAAAAACCATTTACCTCATTACTGTCATTGAACGCGTGTCCTGATGCCTTTGAGATGTTTAAGTAAAGACTCTTGACATCGCTTTCTAAACCATCAGCTGGAATAACATTCTGCATTGAAAGATAAAGCAGGCAATTTGCCAAAAGATTCATTCTTCAGAATCAAAAGAAAAACTTGCTAATATTTCTACTCCCCAGTTAGAATTCAAATATCTAATTTTGAGCAACGTTTTGCTAGCAAGCATACAAATTTCAATGTGTCAAATAGGGGTGTGCAGTGAAGACAAGGACATAGGAATACAATAACTAAATACTTCAAATAAGGAATATATGTTCATAAACATGTTGATTTTAAATTTTTTATTTCAATATAAAGCAAAATTAGATTAGGACTTGTACATGGCAGTCCAATCCACATAAAACAATTCGCATTTTTTTTCAGCCTATGAATCCCAGCAAATTTATAAGATATATAGATGTAGATATAATTGGGGAAAAATTAGCAGGTAAAGCAAAATTCCGATCTTCAATTGGGGCAAAATTAGAAGGGAAGATGATATTCTGGTCTTCTTAGAAATTTAGGTATAAATGAAAATATAACACAATGACATCGTAAAATTCATATAATCAACCCATAGGGATAAAGCTTGTTGTTATTGTAGCATCCAGATTTCCTCAAAGAAGCGCAAATCAATGAAAATGCACGAGGGAACACGCATGCATCCCCGTAAAGTCCTATTGATTACACCAAACTGCTCCTGCCCATTGAAGCAATCCCAAATGGTTTTTTCAAAATATGCTCATATGCAATTAATAACTTTACATGTTGCCAATTATTAGAGGAGCAATCAACAACAAAAGGGCAAAGGCCTTGAAATAAAAAAACGTTTCTATACTCTGGTAAACCTTAACGAGACCAGTTGAAAATCGAAAAATAAAGTATACAAATTTGAGAAATGTATATAAAACCCGTCAATGGCAATGAAAGCATACTGAAAAATTACAGCTAAAAACAGTGAGCTTCGACTTACAGGATTTAAAGAAAAGTGTTTGCAGAGAGCCGTCACTGTGAGCTTCTTTCTGCCTACGCTAGCAGTGGCAGCCATCTCTGCTGATTTGCTGCCAGTATCTTCGAAGTATCAAATTGAAGGCTCAAATTTTGTTACTGGTACTGAAATACTAAGCAGCTCTGGCCTCTGCAACTTGGAAAAAGGGCTTAGGTTAGGTTTTGCGTATCCGGCTTCAACATTACTTTCTCATTCCCCTGGCTTCTGTGTTTCCCCTGGATTTAATAAAATAATGATTTGGTCCTTGTAATTTTACATCAATTTTGAAGTTAGTCCCCATAGCTTTTATAAAGTTGGCCGCTACCTTAGTGCTACAGTGAAAGCTGTTCCCATAAAATCGATTCTTTTTTCTATTTCTAGTTATGTTATACAGCCTATACTCTTATTTAATAATGTCTTATCTAAAATAAAAATTCACTCATATAACTTTTTTTAGGATTTTACTGATGGTTTCAAAAAACTTTACTTTTTGTCTTGGAATTATGTCACCAAGGATAATAAGTATGGAGACCTTAGTTTTAAAAAGATGAAAAGTCAAAACAGAGCCTATATCATAAAACTTTGCCAAGAAATTATTAAAAAGCTTAATTATCTCTGGGTTCGAGTTTTGCATGATAAATATAAATGCCAAAACTCTATCATCCCCATGGTGTGCAAAACCAACTCTTGCTCTTATATTTGGTCCTATATATGTAGAGTTTATGATCAATTCATAACTCATGTGGGCTAAAAGGTAGGGAAGGGGGACCGACCGAATATCATTTTGGTTCAATAAATAGTGCCCCTTTCTTGAAACCCTTGTAAAGTACGCATTTCTTAAGGCAAATTTTATTTTACATACAAAAGTCTCTAATTTTTGCTTTGAGACAAGAAAATGGAAGATTGAACAACTACGCAAATATTTACATCAAGATATCATTAACCATGTCACCATCATTTAACCTCCAAAATCCAATGCATTTGATGATATTATACATTGGAGGCCTTCTAATAATGATAACTTTACCATCAAATCTGTGTGTAAGATTATTAAAAACCATTGTGACAGCAACAACTCCAAGATACTATCTAAGATTTAGAAATAACTGACTTATGAGAAAATTAAATCCTTTCTCTAGAAAGCAATTTGAGATCATCTTCAACCCAAATTCACATGTTCTAATGAGGGCAATCCTTGTATCAGGATATGCTCCTTTTGGTGTATCTCTTTATATTCTACCATTCATATATTAAGAGATTGTAAAAAAATCTAAAGAGGTTTGGATAAAAATAGTTAAGCAATCTAAACTTAAGACTATTTTTTCTTCCTTTGCAAAATTGGATAATTTGAAATGCAGAGAATGATACGGGTAATGCATGTGCAAAGAAAACTTCTTGGCAAAGACTTTATGCCCACATGTGTTGGAACATATGGAAAGAAATATGCCAAAATATATATTATAAAGAAGACATCAAAGACAGAGACATTGCTTTCACCAACATCCAAGACATATTCAAAGACAAGTACCTTCAAACTAAAATTAACTTATTGTCTTAAAAGGGTGATAAAGCAACAGCTAGATGGTCTACCCCTTAAGAAGGATGGATTAGGCTGGATACCAGTAGCTCCATCAACATTCACAACACTACTAGTTGTGAAGGTCTTATTCGGAATAGCTAAGGTAATTGGATTAAAGGTTACTCCAACTACCTTAGTTATTACCTGAGTAGATCAGCTGAGTTTATAGGCATGTTAGAAGATTTAAGCATTTATTAGGCTGAAAAATTTGATAAAGTTAATGCCTACTCTTACTACACTGAAGCTCTCTCGTTAATTCATAATAAGTTATCTATTAATCATCTGCTATCTGTAACTATCAATAAAATCAGAGATCTCAACACGCGAGATTGGAAAATCACGTTTGATCACATTTTTAGGGAGGCAGATAAATGTACAAATTGGCTATCTCATCAAGTCTATATCAACAATTTATATGTCCATGCTTTTAATATTCCACTGCTTGGTCATTGTAATTTTTTATACACTGACATGACTCATCTTATCAATCAGCATAGTTTATCCACGGCCTTCAATTAAAAAAAAACTTATATATGGCGTGTGCTAAGACGTTAATATTTTAGTGAACCTACCTTTTTAGACTTAGGATTACTCATCCTTTACAACAGTGTGTAATGTGTAATTGTAACTGCAATTTAGGTTCATGGTAGTATTTTTTTCAGGGATTAAAACTGAATTTGCCATCCTTAAATGGTACACACCTCCTTGGATTTTTTCCATTACTGTCCATGAATAAGTTGTGGACATCTTAGTCAAATTGGGTGCCCAATGGCATCCTACAATCACTCATTTACTGTAGTATTTCCTTTTCTTTTTACAATTTCATTTCATTGTTTTTGTGATTTTATTCCATTAAATGGTTCACCATTGTCAATGTCAACGTTATGCCAGCAAGCATGCACCATAAATTCTTATATTCCACACACCCACTTCCATGGTCTCTCATCACTGGGCTTGTTCGGCCCACTCAATCATTATATGGACCCAATCTTAATTCAGTATTAATGGGCCTTCTCGTATGGGTTCTTCATTTCCATTAAAATAAGCGACACATGGTTCTGATGGGCCGATCAAATGACACGTTATTCGGCCTTGCGAGTATCACGAGCTCTGCAAACAAACAGGATTGATCTTGTGAGTTTACAAGTTTTAGCAGCAGAAGTTTCGAAGCTATTAATTCAATGTCAGGTGAACATTTACTTTCATAGTCCTTCCAAAATTTATTATAAAACACTTTCAATCATTTCACACATAATAAAAAAATTAAATTTTTTATATAATAAAAAATTAATATATATTTTATTTTTATCCTTAATTTTAAATAATAATATAATTATATTAAATACTTTTACGCTAATCAAAAAGAATAAAATTAAAAAATATGATTTAATTATTATAAAGTGTCCCATATTGTGGACCAAAAATTATATATAAAATATGTCATATAAATAAACTTAGAGGGAGTATATGCTTGAGATATGTTTAGAAATAAATTTTATTGAATGTTCATCTCTCATTAACTCAGTGTGTCTGTTTGTTTACTTTAAAAAAAGCCCTCTTGAACACCGACAGAGTCTTGTGGAGGGCTCACAGTTGCCCGCACCCCACCAAATTTGACAGCCATTTCGTATGAGTACAACATATAGCTATATTTTTATTTTACTTAAAGCTGCAAAGCTTTTTTTGGGGGGGGGGCAATGAGTTGCTACGAAACTTAATCTTCAGATAGTTGGGAGGAAAATTACTTTTGAATATTTATCTACCTTGATAGATGCCCCTTAGATGAACCTCAAATAGCAAGAGTACAATGAAATATAAGTACAGATCAACTATTCAAATCCACCCGGTATATTTTAAAAAAAGTTATGTTTAACTAGCAATAGAAGAATCTCAAAAAAAATGTAGTAACTAGTGTTAAAAATCAAGACTGAAACCTTTGTTAAAGTGCAATTTTGTTTTTTAATTAGATGGGTAGGGCATCAAGGTACAAGTAGAATTGAGCTTGCAACTTTAGATATATAGAAAAGTTTGCATAACACTAAGCTACGCGGTCATTAACTGCTAAAGTGTAAATTTTTTTTTTTGGCTGTGTAAAAAGTTTGAGTTGGATCACATAGCCCATTAAGGCAATGACATACTCCATACTCAAATATCACTCATAAAGATGTTTACAAATAGTTCATTAATAAAATCTTTATATTAATAACAGGATTTGATTTCACTTTCTCATAAATTATAAGCCAAATCTTTATTAATTAAACTAATATTTATTAGTTTTGACTCAAGAGTCAAGACCTATGGAAATAGAATTTCTTCAATACTGTATTCCTCTGCAGGATCTTCTTTCCTTGTTTGTATAAGCTGTATATGTTCTGCTACAACTGACATTTTGAAATGGTAGCATAATTATTTATTTTTCTCTCGTATGTATTGTTAAATATTGTTTTGGAATGAAATTGATAATTTCCAAAAAGAAAAAACTGCTGACGAAAAGTGAGCAAGAGTTAGGGAGTCTAGTTAGACGAGGAGATCTCAAGCATCAAACTGGATGGGAAGAAAATATCACTTCAAAATTGACCAATTATGTGGCGAACTAACTGTCTAGCGCGTTCTTGGAGCCATAGCTTGTTTTGATCTAAGTTTGATCAAGTTACGGGAATTATGTTAGCATGTCTTACATTATTATATTAAACCCTTAAAAATTGCTCCTTCAACTCTCATTACGCTTGTTGGATGTCGAAATGGACTGACGAGTGATGTTAACCCTGGAACTGAATAATCAAAAAATTAAAGAAAAAATGCGAGAAGGACAAAATTGACATTGGACGATAGTCAACCAAATACAAAGTGAATATGTGATGCCTAATTTGGTAAATTCAAGACTTGTGTATGGACTATAAAGTGTGAGATAGGCGGGAAATTCGAGTGTGGAGGACCCGAAAAGATTGACTGGTGCCCACGGGCTAGGCCTTTAAAAAGAAGAGCGGGTCAGAAGAGAACAAGGACTCAAGGACGAACGACGCATGAGAGGCCTGTCGTTTTTCTGTCTGCAGTTCTCATCGCTCCCTCGAAAGACGGGAAGGAATGGGAGGAAGCCCCGACCAAATACAAAACTTCACACAGCCACTTTCCCAGGCGTCGTTTCCATTACAGAATGAAAATGCCCCGTTACGGTATAGTGTTTGCCGCTTACTCCTTCCCTTCATTACATTGGTCTAACAAATTTTTACTGTACTAGACCAAAGTTATGGCCTTGATTCGTGACATTACTTTCCAATTCTTTTCTTTTTTCACTCCCTCTTAATAATCTTTCCCTTAGCTAAATGGGTCCCTCGTGCTATATATTGACGGTGATTATATCAATTTAATCGTTTCTGCAAGGTCAACAAAAAAATGTAATCGTCTCTGGAATTGTACAGACAATGGTATTTAAAATTTTAATGTAAGTATAACAAATTCTTATAAGATTAACATTTATTTGCTATATTAATTAAATTAAGATACATGAATCTTTTATAGATTATATATTCTATGATAAATTTTTATTATTAATTTGATTAATATATTAAAATTTACTTATTATTATTTAATTAAATATAAATATATTAGTGTATGTAAAATTAAGTACATAACTCCTCCCTTTATTTAAATATATTTGAGGTATAACGGCTTTAATGTT